ATAAAAATGTACGTAGACGGGAGTGAGCCATGCATTACCTTGTGAGGAGTCTAGCTAATTACACAGTCCAAATGAATAATCTCAGAATTTGCTTTTCTCGTTCTTGAACTGTTTCTTCGTCGCAACTTCAGGCTGTTTCGGAAGAATGAGGAGCGTTTGCCAGAGAGTTCGTAAGTCGGACTGGAGCTCTGTCCTTGTTGTTGGCCCTGCGAATTATTCTGCTGCTGTTGCTGCTGCTGATGCTGCAGGAAGCGGTCAACGGGTGCGGAGCTCGGCATTCGCATCCCACCACTGCCGCCGTAACCACCAGCGCCACCACCACCGCCAGAACCGCCGTTGGCGTTAGGTATACCAGCGCAGACGAGTTCATTGAAGACGTTCGCTGAACTACCACGCCGTTGCTCAGCCCAGGGTGGAAAGGAAACAGCCCTGGTGACCTCATTCTGAGACCAAAGGGCCTTCAGGATATCAACTAGGTATTCCTCCGTTTTTGCACTGGCGTAGACGAACTGAGAGGGCTTGAGTCCACTCTTCAGCAGCCATTCCATAATCATACCCTCACTGACTTCAGCACTGGAGACAGGAATGTCTGATTTATTGCAAACAACCACCAGAGGCGGCGGTGAGGCCACAAAGAGGGAGTTGGTAGGACTCACTGAACCGTCCTGAAAACGGGTCTCACTGACCAGCGGAGCGTAATCCTCGCGTTCCGACTTTATCTGATCTAAGTAATGACCTGCCGTGTGCAGGGATTCAATACTATCGTTGGCGAAGACAATGACAAAGGCATCGGCCTTTGCGATGCAAAGTCGAATCATGGCCGGAAAATCGTAGCTCCCTGAGGTGTCCATAAACTCCAATTGTGCCAAACAGTTTCGCACAATAAACTTTGCGGGGTAGACATCATCTATGGTGGGAACGTACTTCTCTTCGAAATTTCTCCTTAGAAACCGGTGAATAATGCTACTTTTGCCGACCTTGGCAGCGCCAAGAAAGACAACACGACAGGCAGACTTGGTTGGATCTCTCCCCTGCCCCGAGACTCCACCGTCACTACCTCTGGATAAGCTGTCAGAACCGTCGCCAAAAAAGAGATCAGCTCTGGCATCCTTGTCACTGTTAGTCATTGTTACCTGCAACAGAGGTCAACGGAGTGGGATTAGTGCCAGGCTATCATTCTGCCTGAGCTAGAAAAAAAGAATTCTGTGTTGCAGGTAAAATCGCTGTACTGCCTTGTAACAACTGGGAGAGCCTTTTATCCTAATTATCTTTATAATCTTAAGATTTTCCAAACAATAAACAAGAAGCTTGACGGAATTGCTTTCTGAACTTTGACGCGACAAACCTGTTAACATTAACACAAAAGGCAATCGATCAACTTCATTTCATCAACGCCTGCTTATAGTGCACCATATTTTAATCAAATTAAAATAAACTCGTGAAATTTTACTACATTCTCAAGTTTAAGAGAAAAATTAGTACTTGGCATGCAATTACATTCTCTACTTAGATCGAATTTCTTATCTATTTCAGAAAGGGATACTTTTAATTCACACTCTCAACCATATTCTCTCGATAACCGCCACAACCTGTAGTTTATGAGAAAACTTGGTAAAAGTCTACGTTATGCTTTTTTCGCTATACTTAAATTTAACTTCAAGAATACGTTCTTGAGGAAATTACGTTCCTTGGAATTATAACGCTTTATCCTCCTCTTTGAAAAGGATGCATACTTATTTCGATTTTTTTTGCCTTACCTAGTTAATAAGTGAGTCGGAAATAAAACAGTGCATTTCAAACTGATAATCCTCTACATCTTTATGACCGCTTTCTGCTTCAGCGTCAGAACTTCAGATGAAACTCTGCCCGAAATCAACACTAAATTTCCCTTCCCTGATCCCCCCGCACCCGTTTCCAGCAATGCGGCGGTATCGACCGTGGTAGGGATTACGTTACGTGAGGCACGCATGCCGATAATTTAATTTGAAGTCTGGGCAGCCCTGGAGATGCGACCCTATCTGTAATTCTAGCTCCCCTTCACACGTACCATTCGCGAGCAGCGGATGCTAAACAAGGCGTCAGAAAAAAACCTGGCTGGATAATAAACCGACTCTCGGGCTTGACGGATAAGTAATCTTGAGAAACAGTGTCAGCGCTACTAGGTTACGGCGAACCGAATACTGTCTCTGAGAACACTTACAGCCCAATGGCGGTTCTGTGGTATCAGATGCATTTGCTTACCACCATTTATTTGTTTATTGTGCCAGAACTTTGCGGGAAACAAGCTTGGATAAACCCGCCGCCTAAAAATCTCGAATATGTGACAGATAATTACTCATGGAGTACACGTTTTCTCCATTGATTTTTACTATCTTACTAAATTCAAATATATTTTGTGAAAAGCATGTACGAGCATATTCCTTCTGGCACTCATTGGACAGCAACGTACATCTCGTTTAAATCAAATACGTGAGAAAGGAGTTTCCTTTGAGTTTAAACAAATTTTGTATTATGAGCCGTTTTAAGCAGGTAAAAGATCCCTTCGTAAAACATCATTGCCTTCCAATTATCTATCTTCTCTTCACAGTATACTATAGGATTTTTATTTCTTGCATCCAGCCATATATCGTAGCATACGAATAGCGTTCATAAAAGTAAACATGTCCTCACGGAAAATATACAATTTGTAGGGTAGAAACAGTTAATGCAGCCGAAACAGCAGGCTTGGCTAGCATTATTCGGGCATTTATGAAGTTTTTACGCTTATGATATACTCCATCTTAAAGTATAAGCTTACAGACTTAATTTGCAACTAAAAGCATAAAAGGGTTAAATTTTGTGCATGTTTTTCTAAAATAAATTTGAAATTATGAGGGCAATATGAATCAATAAAAAACCCACGCTACTTAGAAAGTCATTTTAAAGGGAGGCCAGTTGAAAACGGAGGAAAAGAAAAAACCGACAGAATCCCTAGCTCTTTCTTTCCCTTCAGAATGTCGGCTTTATAACAAGATTCTTTTCATCCACCTTCAAATAGCCCCTCTAAAAGAATGACGTTCTACGTAGCGTGACTTTTTTATTGGTTCATATTGTCCTCATAATTTCAAATATGTTTTACAAAAAACGAGCATCAAATAAATCCTATTGTATTATTTTGCAACAAATTATGTCTCTTAGTTTATATTTTAAGTAGGGGGTATACATTCTAGACATACAAAACTTCATAAATTCCTGAATAATTTGAGCCAAACCTGCTGTTCCCGCTGTATTTATTGCTTCTAACCTACAAGCTCTATATTGTCAAAGTAAGGACAGTTTTACATTTATGAACGCTATTAACATGCTATAATATATGGCTGGATGCAGGAAATGTGAATCCAATAGTATACTGTAAAAAAGAGTTTAAATAAACGGAAAGCTGGAATATTTTACCATCTAAAATGCCTCATAAGATGAAACTATTTTAAAGTCGAAAGATTCCCTTTTTCTTGCGTATTTAAGCTAAAGGAGATGTAATTTACTGTCAAATGATTGCCAGGAACTATATGTTTATGCATTTGTTCTATAGGATATACCTCAATTTACTTAGATATTAAAAAACTACGGAGAAGACACGAAATCTATAACTGGTGATCTTTTACAAAAGTGAGATTTTGCGAAAATTCCCCATTGAAAATTTCAGAAATTGGCGAACATACGTTTGTTTTCGATAAATTCTCGTCATGCCTTTACATTTATATGGTATGAATAAACTATGGTGGTTGGTGGACAGATGAAGTGTTCTCGTTGTCAGGGCCTGACGAGAATTTATCGAAAACAAACGTATGTTCGCCAACTTATCTTCTGAAAAGTGAGATTGCTAGGCAATCTGAAAGAAGTTCCTTCTACAGCCTGCATCCTGACATGACCGAAATATCTTAAGATTACGTTGTACGATTATTAATATCGCAAAACTTATTTAGCGATCTTTTACAATCCCAAACACATTTGACAGTTTCGATTAACACTTTGTCAAGTAGTACTTATAGTTCAGACAAAAAAACAGAGGTGTCCGTCAACTGCGCTTCTAATCGTACGTATGTAGCCTGGTCATCGCATTTTCTCCAACCTGCTTTGCAAATGTGCTCGCTTCATGGTGATAATCCTAAGGAATCACATAAAAACCATTGAGCTGTGAAAAAATCGGTAGTTAACTCCAGGATCTTCACAGTTCGGGTACCTCAGTCCGCAGCCTTGACTTCGAACAGATAGAAGACACATTCGCGCCGTACTTTTGAAGACTTCCATCTGTCAGATTCATGTTAGTAGACTTGACCGAAATTCGCAGATTCCCGCAGATTCAGATAGGTCCTTTCTCGACTGGGCTATTCACTTCTCAGGCTATGGGTCTCCACCACCACCACTGTGTGTTCACAGCGGCTCAATTATCGCGGGTGCGCTAACATGAATCAACAAACTTAACCTCACGTGGTTCATCAGGCTTCTTAACAAAATTGAGTACAAGCGCGTCTCCGATGGCCTTTTGAAATTGTTATTCGAGGTGACCTCTAGCAGCACTTTTAACATCATAAACAACTTTCTGGCGGCAAGCAAACGCATACGGACACCATAGGACCGCCGTAGAGCTCGACAGTAAGAGACAGCGGCAGTGTCAATGATCGACCTCCTATGCCCGATTAACGCTGACACTGTTGACTTACGATCGCTTATCCGTCAAGTCCGAGAGTCTGCCTATTTACCAGGCAGGCTTAACTGAGATGAACTCCTTGCTGCTGTGCTACGCATCGCCAGAATATCGGCGAAACTCCTAGTACCTGTGCTATCAATATGGTTCAAAATTAGGAAATATAATCAAAGCTTTCTTCTTCCGTCTCAAGTGTAATTGTGTTTCATATGACGTGGTTGCCTAACAGGATGCGTCGAACGGATAAAAACACTACTTTTCTTTGGTTCTCGATTCAAAGGCATTTACCTATCCTCATGGCAGTAAAAACTGCGCAAACTTATTCACATTTTCTGCCGCTGATTTTCACCTTTGCGGCGCTGTTTTTCGCATTTTCGTTGAGGACGTCTAGATCAGGTCGGGGCAGCTAAAATAACTGTAATTAGTCAGCCTAATGGTTTGCTGACCTCACAGTCGAGCTAAGAGCTCTAAGGTCACTTCCGGTTGAGTTTGCAGACCTTGGCTATTCTACCGCTATTCCCTCTCCGTCTACAGAAATGTGATTGATGATAGCCTTTCAGGCAATAGAGGCAAATTCATTGGATAATTTAATAAACAAGTGGAAGGAATCACCAGGTATATTTCCTTCAAGTTGCTTTCATCTATAACCTTCGTTCACTCGAATGTCAAATTTCTCTTCAGCAAGTTAATTTCGCATTCAGACAACTGATCTTCATGCGTGTGAACAAATTTAGTCGACTGGTTTCCACAATATGTGTAACGTCGTTGTTGATTTATGGGTTATTGTGGCAGCAATTTAAACAGGCAGGAGTTATCTGTTTTTTTTTACATTACTGCCTTGACTTCTGGCCCGCTTTTAAGGAATAGCCGAATATTTTACATGGATGCCTGTAGAGGAAACGTGTCCAGCAACAGATCGTTTATGCCCATTTTCTCCCAAGGAAGTTTTATTTGGAATTCCATGCGTTTTCTAAATTCACAGAAAACATTTTCTTTGCTTAGTGACACCAGTGTTGGTATGGGCGGATTAAAGCTACATAAAATGTTATAATTAAGCCACCGAAGTGATGGAAGTGTCCATGAGATACCATAAATATGGTGATGATAAACCAATCTCCGTTAGGATAGAGTTTCGATTAGACTTTAAGAAAACTTTATTGTATGATTCAGGGTTGGTATTATAAAAAATGGGAAATTTTATCTTAACGATGCATTAAAATCATGACACAATTGCAGCCAGCCTAAAAAAGTATTCATATTTCTATCCTCTAAATATGTATATAATAATCTTGAACAAACGTACAACTCTAGAGAAAGCAGATGACGGTTAATTTCTACAAAATAGTAGTTTTTCCAGCCTATGCCCCATATAATGTTTTTCTCTGTGTACGCCAGCGTAGAAACATGCGCATTCAGAATTCGTATCATGGAAATTATTTGCTA